ATTTCCCCCCCCCCCCCCCTTCCATGGATTAAACATGAATTCTCAACTCAGAGAATCCTCTAGTGGTCTCCAAGGCAAAATGGATCCCCATGTGTGTGGATAACAAGCTGACCTAGCCAATTTGTTCATAGTGTATTGTACAGTCATACCCATAAGTTAGATTCATAGAAAATGTGATAAAAAATATATGTTCTAATTAAAACATATTTTATTCAGGTTGACACATGTTTTATTACTACTAGGCCTTGCATATGCAAGTCAAACAATAGCAGGATTATTCACAAAAGGCTGAAGAGTTTGGAGAAGTCAGGAGAAGAGAACAATCTAGGACAACATAGCTGATGTGGAAAAATTCTCCAATTCAGCTCACTTTCCAGTTCAGCAATGTTGTCCTAGATTGTTCACTTCTCCTGCCTTCTCCAACCTCTTCACCCTTTTGTGACTATCCCTGTAAGTTTTATCTATAACAACCAGTGAAAAGCATTACCATAATTACCAAGGATATTCTATTTGGTTATTCAATAAAACAACTGTAGGACTTATTATACACATGTCAACCAACAGGAATCCATCCTTTACTGACCTCCTTTCAGTAAAGCTACCATAATTTGAATTGATTGTTGTGAGTTAGTCTACTGTTCACTCTGCACTATGTATGAAATTAACCTGAAAGTGTCATTTGTGTAGTTCATACTAAACACTAATGCCTGGCGGGCTGCAAGGGAAACCACAACCACTATACTAAACGTTCAGTTTTTATGATCCAAAGACAATGATATATACTGTATGTGTATATGTACAAATTACCTTCCGAGAGTCTCATCCTGGTGTAGAAAAGAGATCCAGAAAGCCTTTCTTTGTTTTCCTTCTTTTTTAGGATCTTTTCCAACGTGCACAAGAGTTTCCTGGCCTGTCCACAGTTCAGATTTCTTGGAGAATTTCAGAAGCAAAGCATCTGCATACAGTAACCAGATATGGTGTTTAATATATATATATATATAAAATTGGGCCCAATATTCACAGTTACCGTAATTCTTTAGACTTAATCATTTACACTCACGTCATCTTATAATACCGCACATACACAGCAAACCCACTTGTTTCTCTTTTCTGCCAGAGACCCTAGATGTGCCACTTTACAGCACATAGCTAACCTTTTTCTGCTATAGTCTTCATATTGTAAACGAAATTAAAATATGCCAAATAATAACATTGTTTTGTTTGTTAATTTAGTTTCAACAAACTTAACAGCAGCTTACAGAGTGTCTGTCCCAAAAGGAACTTGCAATCTAATGTCCATTCCACACACATACAGACACAGTAGGGCCAATTTGGGTAGAAGTCAGTCAATCTACATGTAGGTTTAAAGGATATGAGGAAACTGCAGAACTATAAGGAAATCCAAGGCATAGGGGTCTTGTACAATTTCTGGTTTAACTCCTCGCTCTGACCGGACCTAGCATTGCATATATCTCATTTGTAACAATGCTCCTGGCCTCACTACTGCAAAACATCAGTTAGATATTTCTACCCAGGGGTCTGACAGTGTGAAATCTCTCTTTTCAGCATTTCTTCAAACAATACTGAAAGCAGCTGTTACTTATTAAATTGTGACTAAGATATAAATGGGGTCTTTTTACCATTTTGTCAGATGAACTAAGAATGGAATTATCACAAATTCAAGCAGACAATAGTTCTGTTCTTTGTCAGGGGAAAAAAATCCTCTAATTCCTTATGGGAAGGAAAACAAAAATATATCCAAAAAAAAGCTTCTAAATATTTGTCTTGGTAGAAAGGTCCAGAAACATCCTTAAATCTGTACCATCAAAAGTTGGATTTCAGTATTCACCATAATGATCAGGAGACAGTATAAAGTACTATCATAACGTTTTATAGCACATTCACCTTTCGCTCCTCCATTACTCTGTTTAACTTCCAGGGGTAAGAAATGACTGAGTACGCACTCCTCTTCCTCTGCTCTGTGCTAACCCCTAGTTCCTAGCTGCTTGCTTATTGCAGTTTCCAAGCTGTGGCCTTCTTTGCTGTTTTGCAGGCTGTTCTGATTAAAATATCTCCACTTGTATACTGGATCCCTATTGACATGAATGAGGCTGTATGCCAAGCATCTCTAGTCTCGATTTACGGTGCCACTCAAGTCATTGGGGACCCAGCGTGCAGATGCAAAAGGTGCTGAAGCGATTTTCCTCTGAAAGGCTGGACAAACCAGAGGAAGCTGCAGCAGGACTGGGGGGGAACAGGTGATTGGTACCGTTTTAAAGTGTGATTCCACTTTTGCCGCCGAATTAGGATAACACCAACTTAATATTTGTTACATTTTCCCATTCACATATCATAACTTATATTTTTTTTTTTTATGATCTTTTCGATGATGTTTCTGCAAACTCAGGACTAAAAAATCCTTCTTAGTTCTCACTGTCTGAGGGGGTCCTAACAAAGGGTTAAAGATCTGAAGACCTTGTATGTTAATTAACTTTTTAAAAAACTAGCCTCTCCCTCATCAACTTATAGGCATCTATTCTAACCACTAAAAGTTGCCTGTAGAATCCTCCGTATAATCGTGCTCCAAAGAAACAGCTAAAATGTGATTTTTTTGTTTAGATATTCTGTGTGAACAGTAATTCATAACAAACATATCGAAGGGTTCCACAAATTTGGCTGCAAAAATAAAAAATACCCTTTAAATTTAGCTTAGGGAGGGTAGGAGGATAGATTTACTGATAATTGTTAGAAAGGTACCCCTGTTCTTTAAATAAATGAGCTATTTAGAACAGGCTCCTATACACATATACATAACCTTTGTTTGAGCAATATGTCTCAATCTGGCTATTTTGCCTGTAGTAAAAACAAACAATAATTTCTGATCATATTATTATGCAGGATTTATATAGCTCCAGCAGTTTGCACAGCGCTTTACAATGTAAGGAAGACATTACAATCACAATACAATTCAAGACAAGATGGTAAGGAGGGCCCTGCCCCTGAGGGCTTACAATCTAAAACTGATATGAAACACAAATAATGTCAAATAAAATGTGAGGGTAATGTCCCTCACTTGTATAAGAGTATTAAAACGAGGCTCCACTATATCATATATAACAAATATGTCCAGCAAGCCCTAATAAGTAAAATGTAAAAAAGTGTATGTAGCTGGACCGAGGATCAAGGGGTCCAATACACATTAATATCCAGCATCTTGACTTGAACATAAAGAGCCATGTATCTAACAAATTTGAATGTGCATACACTAGTTCAGATTTGTAAGATATGACTATTCAAGCTGAAGTTCTTCACTATCCAAAAAATAGAATAAACATAACCACCGGCTAGAACCATGACAGCCAACCAGGGCAATAAAGGCATTACTGCTTTACCGGACCTGGGCATGAATCTGTCAGCACCAGCCAAATAGGTATGGTTGTTATCAAAGCCAGGCTAGATGAGTGAGATAGAGCTGCTGCTAAGACTGAGAAAAAATTGTAGGTAGCAAATAAAATGAAGTGTGTTTCAAAACGACAGCTTCTTACATAATATGACCTCTAGGTCAATAGAAAGAGATTTTAAGCAACTCTGTAACCTGACAAGAAGGCTGAGAGTATACCTAAAGTCAAAACTTTTCTTTTTGAGTTTTGGAAACAGTAGGGAATGGTGTAAGCCCATATCAGGTATGGTTACCCAATTGGCTAGATTTTCCTTTGCTACCTGTCTCAGCAAAGAAGAGAAAGAGGAAATCGCCACCAGAACAGATGTCTCCATTGGAAGATTTCTCCTATTGTCCTGTTCCAGCAACAACTAAAAACATTGGTATTAGCCTTCACTTTCTGTGCCACTGACAATGGTTACTGAGAGAAATAGAGAGTTATTCTTCCCATCATGGGCACAGAAAACAATAAGACATGGGTTTCAACACTTCCATACTCTATTCAAAGTTAACAAAAAAGTTCTGAGTTTAGATGTACTTCACGCTGTTAGAAATGTACTTTGAAGTTTAATAAAGATTCATTTAAATCAAAGATTAACATGCAATTACATACAATTAGCAATCCACGAAGCTTGTAGGATCAAACAATCTATATGATCTTTGCTATGGTACAATACCATTTAGCTATTTGTAAGGGGCCTGAGCCATCTTTGATTTTTTTATCATGGTGGCACTCAGGCTAACAAAAATACTCATAGTGCACAAAATTTTAAATCACAAGCCATTTGAAGCCTTACTCCAGCTCTCTAAATTGTAGGTTTAATAGATCATCGAGAATGTATAAGAGAAATATATGATTGTTATATTAATACAAGAACCTAGTGACAGAAAAAGATCATATAGGGTCATTCATATGTGCTTACCATAAGGAGTGTTGGCACCTTAGTTTTTTAAAAAGTTATTGCTATGAAAACGTCAAATATGAAAATAAGATAGAAACATATATACTTACTATATGTTTTCTGAACATGCTTGAAGTTAAAAACCCCTGTATGTTCCAGCCTCTTGAGCAGCCATTCATGACTTACACCTGATAGAAGTCTTTCATAATCAGTGACATCTAAGGAACGGGCCTGGAGTATCTGCTCTTTTTGTTGTGCTTGCATAAGAATAAAAGAGCTTACACTTGAATTTAGAGATGAATGTGACTCTGAAAATGGACTAACTTTGGACCAAGAGCTAGAGCCGTGGCTGCTACTGGAGCTAATATTGATCTTACTGTCCACATCTGCCTTGCTTTTTCCAGAAGAAGATAGTGAACTGTTTTGCTGACTTAAGGGCATTTTGTCAGCAGAACTTTCTACAGACCACTGGCGGCTAAGGAACTGCATTTCCAGTTTATCTTCTGTGGCTAACAACTTGCCTTCAGAAGAGGCAGCTGAGGATTTGTGGGTAGAGGCAGACTGACCCGAAGGCAGCAAATCAGAATCGTGCATCCCAATAGATACTTCATCTGTAGTAATATTTGTTTCATCTTCTAAATCAATTCCAAAAATTAACCTATGTTCTACAACATGGCCCGATACCTCTGTTGTATCTTTTGTTTTCCCTTTGAGGTCAGGTTCATACAGTACCTTCTGTCTAGCATCAGCATCTAATGATACTGCATTGACATCTTCATGAACTCCAAATTGTGTATCATCTGTAGTATCCTTTGTTTCACCTTCTACATCAATTTCACAAAGCAACACTTGTCTTAATTTATCACCCGAATGACTGGTATGAATTTGCATAGACGAGTGGATTCCACTGGGAAGATCATCTGTAGTATCTTGAGTTTCAACTTTCTGGTCAATTCCAGAGTGAATCATTGACTTTGTAATAATACCTGATGGACCAGTAGATGTCATCATAAACTTTTGTATTTCAGGTGGTGGATCGTGTGTAGTATCTTCTGTTTCACCTTCCAAGTCAATTCCTGAATGGATCCTTGGCCTTATAACAACACCTGATGGACCTGAAGGTACAATGATAGTATTTTTATTTACAATGGGTCCATCATCTGTAGTATCTTGCGTTTCATCTTCCAAGTCAATTCCTGAATGGATTCTTGGCTTTATAACAACACCTGATGGACCTGAAGGTACAATTATAGTATTTTTATTTACAATGGGTCCATCATCTGTAGTATCTTCTGTTTCAATTAAAGAATAAATACTTGGCCCTGTAATAACACCTGATGGACCTGGAGGTACCATCATAGTCTTTTGTATTCCAGAGAGTACATCATCTGTAGTGTCTTGTGTTTCACCTTCCAAGTCAATTCCAAAATAAATACTCGACCCTGTAGTATTAACTACCTGACCTGCAGGCACCCCATCAGACTTAAACATTTGTTGCTTCTCTATGACATTGGTTGGTTTGTTGGTTTCGGCAGCATCATCAAGGTCAACAAACTCAAAAGACCCATCATCTGAATGTGTACTAGACCCTTTAGCAGAGGATTTTCCATAGACACTACTGTTGGTAGCTGATGTTTCTGAGTATTTATTTCCAGCATGGACAATGTTGGTACAACTTGTTTCAATAGATCTGTTTTCCCCAGCTGTTTTATTATCTACTTCATGATTCTGAGGATCAGTGACATTGTCTTGAAGGGAAAGACCCTGCAAATGTATGTCAGCGCCATATTTTTGTTCACCAAGAACTTTATCGGAAGTAGAGGATGAACTAAGACTCACAACATCAGCACCTTCACTATTAGAAATATGAGGCTCCTTTTCATTTTGTTCTGGTATACATTCCCAGCTAAAAGAAGAATTTGACAAACTGGAGCCCTGACTACCACTATGTGAGCTACTTAATCGTTGCCTTCTGTCTTCATCAAAAGAGTAACTCACAGCATCAGAATGTACAAGTTTTCTTCTCCTCCTCAGTGACTGGTCACTTAGTTGATCACTAGCTGTTTGGCTTGGGGAGCTGTCTACGGTACTGATGGTGTCGGTAGTCTTCAAGGCAGTTATACAAGCTCCTGATTTCATTTCATCCTCCTCTGTGGTGTGGTTTCTGCAAGCAACATCAAACACTTTGCACACGGAGATATGATGTTGAGAATACATATCCAAAAGTTTGTTGAAGCTGACTCTTCCAGTGACAATATTTTCTTTAATGCAGTCTTTGTAACTGTCTGGTACAAAAGATCGGTCATCTGAGTTTGGGAATTGTCGCACTTTTAAATGTTCTTTAATATTGGTTACAAGGAACATAACATCACTGGCCAAGACTCCTTTGTCACGTTTGTCTGATGACACATTATACACTGCCAGTTTTTCCATGGCCTCTTTACAAAGCTGATTCACAATATCATTTTGCCCCGCTTCACTATTAATCCACCTGTGCACATTTGCAAGACAAAAGGCTGACTTGACAAAGCTGTGAAGCTCCTGTTTACTTGTTACTTGCTCTCCTCTTTTTTCAGTGAGGAGACCAATCTCAAAAGACTCTTTGGCCTCCAGGAGATAGTGAGATTTATTCTCCACTGGACACTCTTTAGACAAACTGTAGGATAACAAGCATGTGCCTCGGATATTCTGATGGGGGGAAAAAACAACAACAATAAAATATGATTGAGTTAAATATCTACAGATAACCATCACCTTAACATCTAGAGCAATATGCCATATGTCAGGAATCAAATAACATTTAATTCATCTTCACAAGTTTCAATTTGTGTTCTTCTCCTGTGCTGCAGTTTTAAACAATTCATGTTAGGGCATTTAAAATCTAATGATGACTCTGACATTTTCTTCAGTTTCTATTTAGTGAAAAATGTGCCATCAAAACAAACTCTGTGAGGGGAATTTATCATAATGGGAGCAGACAAAATCTGGAGCAGCTGTGCACAGCAACCAATCAGCTTCTCTGTTTCATTTCCAAATCTTAAAGTGACATTAACCACCTTCCGTCCGCCGAACGTTGAAAGACGGCAGGACGGGAGTCTCCTGGATGCAGGTGGGCGTCTTTAGACGTCCTTCGTGCCGGCGCCCACTGGGGCGCACGAGCGGGAAACCGCCTGGATTTTAAAGGGCCATCGCTTGTATGATGCAAGTGAGGGTGCACCCCTCCTTACCTCTCGTCGCTGTCCCGCTACCGCCGTCTCCGCAATCCCGGGGGCTCCATCCATCCCAGGCGATGTGGCTCTGTTCACTGAGAACGGAGGGAGATCAGTACGCGATCTCCCTCCGCTACAGAAACCGGAGAGAAGCTGATGAAGCAGATCTGTGCTTCATCAGCTTCTCTGGGGGTCCCTAGGTGACATTAGGGGTCTTAGAGACCCCTGATGTCTCCATAAAGTGGACCTGTAACTGTAATTTGTTATTACATAGGGTACTTCTGAGCACCCTATGTGATAACAATAAAGTTAAGTGTAAAAAAAAAAAAAAAAATTGCTCACAAAATAAAAAAAAATGAACACAAACAAAAAAAACCACAAATTTTTTTGACAGTCCGGCATTCCCACATAGATGCGCAAAAATGCGTTAGATGTGCCTACACGCAATAGCTGGGCGGATCCAGACATAATTGTCGGGATCCGTTTCAGCTGCGGCGTCTCAGTATACCGCACGCTGTAGCTCGCAGTATACTGATTTTAGGGTGACGGGAGGACGCTAGTTTGTGTCCTTCCGTTACCCTTAGGAGAACTATGGGGAAAAGCCCTAACCCCATAGTTCTCCTTTAAGGATCTGCAGCTGAGTGATACACAAATAAGATACATTATTTTGTTATTAAGTTACTATTAGATGATTTGAGGCTCTACAGCTGACTGATATACAAATAAGATACATGTTTAATAGTTAAGGTACTTGAATGCACTTTTAAGATTTAACCCCTGAGTTTAGTGCCACTTTAAAAGGAGAACTATGGGGTCAGTGTTTTTCCCCATAGTTCTCCTTAGGGTAACGGGAGGACACAAACTAGCGTCCTCCCGTTACCCTAAGCTCAGTATACCGCGAGCTACAGCTCGCAGTATACTGAGACGCCAGAGCGGATCCCGACCTGGACATCGGGATCCGCCCAGCTGCGTGAGTGACAGCTGGCTCTGCCTATCTAGAGGCAGAGCCAGCTGTACCCGCCCCCTCCCCCATCTGTTCTGCCAGTCAGCGCTGGCAGATCGGAGCGGGGAGAGGGGAATCCAGCCCCTCCCCCTGTCACGGCAGAGAGCCGTGACAGGATCGAGAGGTGAGCGGACCTGGTATGTGTTCGCTCACCTCCCGATCTACTGAGCCGACCTGTGACAGTCTCATTGTCACAGGTCGGCTTAGAACTATGAGGTGAGTGGAAATCACTCATGTCATAGTTCTCCTTTAATCTGGCTCCAGGGAGATTTTCTAGCAAGTTGTGTGATGGCATGCACCTATGACCACCTCAGGGGCTTGTTATCTTCTTTCAGTACACAAGTAGATTAATGCTTGCTTTTATTGGTATAAATGTCCCTGCTATGTACAGCCAGCTATGAATCACACTGAAGGGCAGTGCTGGAAGAGACTGATAATTAAATATTGCTGGTACCAGATAAGATTGTGACTTGAGATAAGAGAGTTTTTATTATGCAGCATGTCTGAAATGTTGTACTTTGTGGAAATCACTCATCTCATAATTCTCCTTTAAGGGAAAATTTCTCTAATGGACCCAAATACAGCAATACAACAACAGAGGTTCTAACTCTACCCGAAAAGAAACGTTTGGGCTTCGATGTTAGTTTTTTGAGTGACCATACAATAGGAAGGTCTGTTATTTGTAAGAATAGAAGAATAGAGATCTGCCTGGGTAACTGTCACGGCTGCTGAACTGTCATACACATAACACTATTTCCTACATTAGAATTTTGAGCAAATGGTTAATGGAAAAGAGAAGGGACCATTGGCTGCTTGTTGGAAACTCTGCAGGCATTTTTGAGCAGATTAGAAAAAGTTCCTGCTTTCTAACATCTCTGCTGTCAGATTATACATTTATGGAACATAACAAACAAAGACTATTAAAGACAGAAAAGAAACGCAGTGTACAAAACACTATGTATAAAATAAATAGTATAAACTCTATATTGAAATATATCACTAAGATAAGATATATACCAGATTGGTGAGCACAAAGAGGGGTGTATACAGACTAAAGGTTGCTGCCAGTTTACAAGCCTCTGCTGCCGATAATAACCGGTGATCAAATTCTTCCAGTAGGGTCTGTCAGTATAATCACAGAAAAAAAATCTTATATCAGCATCTTTAAGAGCAATTCAAAGCAACAAGCAAAACCAATTTTAAGTCTATACCCTCCGTACAGACAACAAATAATTATCTGTGTTTGGATTAAACAATCTGCTAAATTATCAGCATTTCTTCCATCTTCCAAGCGAAGAAATCTAATGGCTCTGCAATTAAACCTAATACAAGGTTTATTAAGACAGACCTTTCATAGGCTGGGCATCAAGACAATTTTTCAGAAGAGAAGACAGAATACACTGTAAGGACCTCTTTACACTGTTGTGCTGTGCCGCACCACACAGTAATACGTTATCTGTATTAGTGCAATGCATTGGCAAATAAATGTGCATGTCCGATTTCTGGTTTATTGCAAACACTTTCAAATAAATGGTCTGCCTTAATGCAAGCATTACACAGCATATCTGACTGCAGAAGTGTGAATGGGCCCTAAGTGAATGTTGAAAATTAGAGCACACTAGGTCTGCATACCTGAACTACCTTTAGCTGTATTTCTTTGTTTCGAATTATTACTTTAATTAAAGATCGTAGAAGCATAAGTAAGCACTGTACTATAAAAGGAAAATAAAGGCTCAAAAAATTGTTCACATAATTGAATCCTCTGTTTTAACACGTGTTGCTCCAAAATGTACACTTTGTTGTGCCTCTACTTAGGAGTGGTTAGCGCTGCATTAAGCTGGCCATAGACCTTACAACCATCGCAAGACTCTAATTAAAAAAACGTACGATCTGCCCATCTTGGACAGGCAGATCGTACTTGCGATGATCGATGGCCCGCCCTGCAGAGGGGCGGGCCTCCGATGACTACAATGGTGATCGGGCATTTGTCTTACAAGCGTGCCACAAACCCACCGACAATCGTACGATTCTCAGCGGGTTTTTGAACATGCTCGTAAGACAAAAGTCGTGCAACCTTACAGTAGCAGAGACGCACGTCTTCCATACACTTTTCAATTATCGTACGATTCGCAGGATTTCCCACGATTATCGTACGATAGTCGCAAGGTATATGGGCACCTTAAATTGGGAGCTCAGGGGAGGAAAGCCAAAAGGCACACTTTTCTCCTAAAGATGTTAAATTCACAAACATTAAAGAATTTTAAAAACATACCCCTGCAGTGGGGCTATCCCCGCACTGCAAGGGTTAGAGAGCACTTCTTTAGGTGCTGTCTAGGGGAGTCAAATAAAGTAGATATACCCACCTGATCCTCAGTCAGCGCTCGCCTCTCTCCCTCTTCTCTCCGGGTGGGGAATGTCACTCGGTATCCTCACATCTAATCCAGGCCAATGGACCTGCGTAAGACATGATGATGCCAACGTTCCTTAGATCGCTGGAGCCCAGGGTAGAAGAGGCTGCCAGGACCAGTCTAGCTGCTGGGAGGACTAAGGATCAAGTAATTCTGCTTTGACTCCCCTAGACAAAACAAGCACTTAACCCTTGCAGTGCAGGGGTAGCCCCACTGTAGTCAGTAAAATGTGTAATACTTTCACATGAATTGAACATTTATCTGTATAAAGTCTTATTTTCTTATAAAGTTTATCTCATTCGTGTTATTTTATTAATATCTCAAATGGTTATTTATTTTTTAAACACTATTCTGAGTAGCAGCTTCCTGTCAACTCCCACAATGCCTAGCACCACATGTCACATGCAGGTAGGCTTCAGGCTGTAGGAGAGCCTGGCAAAGTAGAGAGGTGGGGTGGAGCTGAAATGGAGTAGTGAGAAAAACAGTGTACTAGTTGCTAAGCACAGAGCTTCTGTATATGTGACTACTATAGGAGATACAGGAAGGCAGATTGGAATGTATGTGAATGTGCTTCTCAAAGGTAGTCATGGGGACTAAATGGACACAGAAATGTAAAGATACGGAGTGAGAGATATTGAAATGGTATGCTGAAGCAAATATGAAATTCTTGTTTAAGACTTCAGTGACGCTTTAATACTAGTTACAGCACGTTTCCATCTGATATGTTATAACAAATAAGTCTTGAATCAGGACATTTTATCCTGGTGCTAAAGCCACTTGTTCCAAAGCAAGATACATCTTTGGTTTCAGCTACAAATAGACTCAGACTGGCAGGTCTATAAAAAATTGTATTGCCTTAAAACATATAAGCAATGAAATAATATTGAATGACACAATACATACTAATCCCACGTGGTTATTTTTCTTGAACCTCTGATAATCCTCCTCACTCATGGATATAAAAATGTCTGCTAAAACACCAAGAGACGTCGCAATTCCCTTAAAGATAAAAATAAAAAACATTTAAAGAAAGCATAAAAAAGTAAACAATCTATATATTAGGAGAAACGTCCTTTCATGCTAAAACCCTGCAAGGCATTTCCAGATGAATATGATTCTGTGACCTTGTATATGGTATCAAACCACAGATGTTGCACCTCTGTTATATGTTATTAAACAGTTGAAAATCATTTGTACAGAACAGACCAAGTGGATTGTGAGTGATCTGCTTCTTTAGTACATATTGCTTTAAGGAAGGGATGGGTTTTATACTGTCACTGCAAAGGCAAGGATTAGACTTTCCTTGTAACTCAGATTCATCTATTCTAGGCTCTAATAATTGATCAATTACTTAAAACAGTAATTAGTGGCCTTCATTACTAAGCAAGCTAAAACTTCCTCATTGCATCTCGTTATCAGAGTAAAGAGCAAAGAGCCGTATGATTGCACCAGATTCTGCTCTGTCATTAAATCATTTGCTTTTGTGTCTCGCTGGAAAGCTATCACTTTAGCTATTTAACAATATATGATTACAGAGGGTAAAGGAACACACCAGACTACTCCCACCTGTCTGATGTTATACCATAAAAGCAAGTGTGAATACATGGGTTACAAGAGCATCCTTACCGGCACCCATAACAGACAGGTTATTATAGACATAAGGAGGTTCTACCTTTTTATCAGGTATGGGCAGTTCCAAAAAGCCGACAATGGAAGTCCAGATGAGCTCAGCTGCCTCATACCACATCCCTATAGTTCAAGAAAAACAATACTCTAATTACTTACAACCACACTGCACTTGTAATTAGTAAAACGGCTTGTATGGGGACATTATGAAAGCTATTTAGGCTGCTTAAGACCTTGCTAATACATATTTCCATAAGTCTATAGCATTCCCAATAACAGCATCCAATCAAAGGTGAACAGATATCAATAATAGCTGTAGTTCTTCATTATAGTATGTTCGTTTTTACTGTCCTATATGGGTCTTTACTGTTTAGCTCAAGTGTGGCCAGATCTGCCTTCTCTAGCCATATGACAGGTGGCCCAAGTTCTTGGATATGCTACTTTATTATTATACTTTGTACACGTCATTTACTGCTAATACAAATATTAGAAACACTGCTCCTACCGCAACCTATTGAATGCCAGAATGATTCAACATTAAACAACCAGTGTAAAATATGTGTACACCACAAGGACCTTAAAATGAAATGTATAGACCCAAGGCGTACTAATTCAACTCCACAACTAAGTGGATAGAATTTTATATGATAGCATGTATGAGAAATCTCGTCAGAACATTCCATAATGCCATCAGAGACTTGGCGAATGGTGTTTGAAAGTTTGTTTGATTTTAACAATTGATTTTGAACTGAATGGAGTTTCCTAAAAGAAAACCACATTCATTTAGAATTTCATTTGTTAAAAAAAAAATTTTTTACGCCATTAAAGGAGAAATATGGCATGAGTGAAATGGGGTGGGCACAGCTGGCTCTAGAGAGGCAGAGCCAGCTGTCAATCAGGTCCCGGAGTGGATCCTGACAATATTGTTGGGATCCTTCCCGGCTGCAGCGCGGCTCTGTGCTGTCAGCATATAGCGGCAATAAGCTGCTATATTCTGTGTTTTGGGTCACAGAAGCACATACTTTAGTAAATGTTCTCCTGTGACCCAAAAGAGAACTACGGCCTAAAAAGGTTTGACAACAAAAAACTACTTTCAAACAAAATTGTAACCGTGTATACCCAGCTTTAGATGTCCACCTTTAGTTGTCCCAAATATCCTGATGGTATTCACAAAGAAAAACACCACAAGATCTTTAAAGTGACATTAAAGTATATATTTTTCCCTCCCCCAATGTTAGTGTCAGCACTTACCTTAAATGATGTCTCTTAATCGGATCTTCTTCTTCTTTCCTGTCCTTTTCATCTGTCTCTCCAGCGTTGCGGCGGGTCTCCGATTCAGCGCTGACTCCTCTGTCCTTGCTGGCACTTCCTGTCCCACGGAGTCTGCATGCGGGTGCACGCCGTCCATATACTTATCTTGTGTCTCTCCTCGCGTCCCGGCCGAAAATCTGAACTGCGCATGCTCCCGCCCCAAGATCCTTTGCGGCCGCCCGAGATTTATTAGATTTTCAGACAGGAGCGTGCGGGGAAGACACAGGTAAGTTTTAACCTCTTTTAAAGCGGTTGGTTTTAAAAAAAAGTTTTTGCATATATCTACTACTTGCTAGCAGTAGATATATGCAAAAAAACGGAGGGTTTTATAACACTTTAAGAAGTGTAAATCAGAAAGATCTTACTCTGTTCAAAACCGATTAGGTATTATGGATACCTGTTGCTCTTCTGCAATAAAAGACACTGTTAGAATGGAATCCTTCCTTGTTGTTTCCTCGTCAGGTGGCTCTGACCTTCACCTGACCAGCTATCCAGACAGTTACATCAGGCAACCCCTCCACCTTTAGCATATTTCCCAATACAATATAGTGTCTTTGCAAAGTATCAAATGCAAACACATAGGGGGGAATGTATCAAATGTGGAGCAGACCAAATATGGGGAAGTTGCCTATTGCAACCAATCTGCTTCTTTCTTTCATTTTCAAAGCTCAACTACACATGCTGAAGAGAAAAACTGACTGGTTACTATGATTCTGTCTGCTCCAGTTTTTATAAATTCCCCTTATAGTGCTCACTGCCTACACTCCATCTAATATGCATTACTTTATAGCATTTACAATGTGTTCAATCAAATCATACATCTTGATGCTGATATTGATGCTTGATGGGTGTTTTGCTTCGTGAATACCATCACGATATTTGGGACGTGACAAAGGGTGGACATCTAAGTGTGAGTTGTCAAGTGCACTTTCAAACATCTTGGGGCTATATATTTGCTTCTAAAGTCCCTGCTGGGTACACACCGTATCTTACATTGGGTGTCTGATGATGGATAGCTCATATTGTGCATTCAATAAATTGGGGTAGGCACAGCGGTTTTAATATTTTGTGTTTATTGTGCCCTGCCTTTGATATTCGTTTCTTTTTCTCCTTCCGCGATTCTTAGTTTACTGCTAATCTTCACCTCCAAACTAACCATTCAATTCAAAACTGATGTGATTGAGGACATCCTGTATATACTCCTAGGAATTTCAGAATAACAAATCAAGACATAGGACTATCCAGCAGTGCTGAAGGCAAATAAGAAACCAAGTACAATTTGAATTGCTCACAGTTATTGGCCCAATGGTTTCTTTTATGTTTTGAGGACTCCTATGATAAGATTTTCATTTAAGATTTCCCTTCTCTGCCCCTGCAGCAAACATTAAAAACCAAGGAAGTCTCATTTCTACCACACTCTTTATAATGTCATATAAATGGAGTCTTCTGCGAGTAGGACGTCCTCTAGTAACTGCTGCAGGTGGCAGGCATAGCTGAGAGAGCGGAGGGCAGAGATCATACCATATGAAGATTTAAGAAGCCAGTAATTATAATGTGACGCAAACTTTTAATCTAAAATAAGAGCAGTAAAATAAATGAATATAGAAAGTTAAGCACTTTGTTTTTTTAAAACATGTGAGTGCAAGTAACTATCTTTTGTACTTGCCGTATTGAAGTGTTTTATTTCTGTGTATTTTTTGTATTTTCCATTGCCAGGAATAGGGCTGTCAAAACATGGCCCTTAGTACTATGGCAATGTTTGCGCACTTCTGGTCCCAACATTTGTTTTTGATTGCACTAGTTGACCCCATAACAGTCTATGAGGTCAGCTACTTATATTCAAACAAAGTGCTGGGACTAAATGTGTGTGGTAATGGTACCACACTGCTGAGAGCTGCATTTTGACAGGTTTCTCCCTGCCCAAGGTCTCAGGGGAGATAAGTTTAAATATTACATTACAATTACCTCCTGCACTACTTTAAACTTGAGGTTTAACAAAAATGGAGTCAAGTTAGGAATTTAAGTTTAGAGCCATAACATGAAAAACAAATACGCTTCTCCTTACCTAATTTCTGCAGAATTTGTCCCCGGATCTGAATGCATACAGACTGAACTAAGAGTCTATCACTCTCTTCTGAATAATGCCAGGTGCCTGGTTATTTTTTTCAAAAATAATAAAAGAAAATAGAAAAAAATGCATATATTAACAGTTTTACAGTTTTAACCCCTTCATGACTGAGGCCCTTTTTTCCATTTTTGCACCCATGTTATATTCCACATTTTAGGCCTGAAAATGACGTAAAAACCCCCAACATTATATATTTTCTGAATGCCAAGACCCTATAGAATAAAATGGTGGTAGTTGAAAATTTTTATGTTGCGCAATATTAGCGCAACTCCTTATTAAACCCCAAAATTTAGTGACAAATTTAATTAAATGCCCCAAAACACAACAAATTACCCATTAAAAACATGGTATTTCACCTTTTTTGTCCAGTATTAACCTTTTATGAGATACAATACACACATGACTTTTGTAAAATAATATTTGCCTGCAGTAGCCTTAAAGATGTGTGGATATGTATTAAATCCCTAGTCTGGAAATACCTTAAAGTGCAATAATCAAATATTTACATACTTTAACAAGCAGTAAATGAGGTTGAACACAAGCTCTCACTAATCTCTGTAGTTACAGTCACTGCAGAGCAATCCATCCTCAAAAAGAAAAGCAAGGGCTTGTTTTAAGCTCCTGTACTGCTTGTTAGGAATATGTTAACCCCTTCGTCACGGGAGACGTACAGTGTACGTCCCGTCACAAAGTGGCTATATGACTGGCCACGTACACTGTACGTGCCGAGTTATATTAGCCTCTGTAATGCCGGTAACTGCTGAATTCTTTGCTTCATGCTTAGTACAAACTCAACCTGACCACTAACCCAACAGAGGTAAATTGAGCCTCCTATTACATTTTGAGTAAAACAAACAGCTGCTTCCAAGTTCCTGTTATGAGACATAGGCAGCATAAACCCCATGGTCTCTAGCTGCCAAGAGGATTATGGGTTGTGTGTGCCTTTAGAACTACTGTTATTACAAAAGTGAAATCATGATTTCACACATCTTCCAGTAGATTCTCCACAATGAAGAATACATTGGAAATAGCAGAAGAAAACAAGTAACATCTATAATATGGTCTGCATAGTGGCATAGTGTTTAGCCCTTCTGCCTTGCAGCACTCAGGGTCCCCGGTTCAAATCCCAAATTTGCATGTTCTCCCTGAGCTTGTGTGGGTGCTGGAAGGTTAATTGGCTCCTGTCCAAATTGGCCCTCTATGTATGCATGTGAAATAGGGACCTTAGATTGTGAGCTCCTTGAGGGCAGGGATGATGTCAATGTGCAACTATGTAAAGCACTGCGTAAATTGTCCGCACTATATAAAATACCAATAATAGTAATAATATAATATGACCTTATGGGAGGGGACAGAGCTGCAAGCTTATGCACAACAATACCCCAAAGAAATTATACCAAGAGGTATAAAAAGCCAGCAGATAATTCAACTCATTGGTGCCCACCTAAAAATAGCAGTCTGGGTGAAGGTGATGTCTTCTTTGAACAATTGTATTAAATATTGTACCCCCTGTTTTCCCCCTCTAAACCTTCCCAACATTATACAAAACTGGAAAAAAAGGTTTTGGCTGGAGTTTTATATTAATAAATGTGCACCAGTAAGAGTAAACAGCTGCATCCTCATTGAGATTCATTATGTTTGTTTCTCACCTGTAGCTCCATTGTTGCTTATTAGACTGCTTAATATATACTCTGCTTTCAGAAGCTTTCCTGTGGATGAAAGAATATATTTACAATAGGACATTACATGTAGGACTTCTGTGTGTTTATTAAATGTCAGATGGCATTTGATATCTGCTTGGGACTTCGTCTCCACTATGACAGTCTAGGATCAGTAGGGACAGGGTTCTAAGGCAACAAACCATACACAGAATAGGACTGTGTAGAATGGGGACAGCAGAATGCCAGAAACATTGGAACATCAACGAGGTGACAAAGCAACAGTCACAGAACTCAGAATTGAGGTATCATGCATGCACAGGGAATATGAGATTGTGTAGTGTTTAATGTAGCAGATTAAGAGATATTGGGTACAGTGCAGTGTGAACAGACGCAGACATGATTTTTTGTAGTGTGGATAGTGTGGGGGGGTGGACACCTGTAAGACAGGCTACACACTAATGAAAAAACATTGGGCTGATTTACTAAAGTACTATACATTTGTAAAGTGAATTGTCACTAAACACAGAGGTGGAGCAAAGAATAACCAATCATTTGCAAGCACTAACTTCAATTAGCTAGTCATGTACAAGCAAAAATCCTGCTTTTCACATTTATCTTGCACGTGATTGGTATCCTTCAGCTAGCTTCGGTTGTGGGAGCCCTTCGGTTTAATCGAAGGACTTCTATACGGGCTATTCACTATTAGCCTTGCAAATGACAGATGGGCAGAGCCAGCCGTGATCTCACAGCTGGCTCTGCCCAGTTGTAATGACAGATCAGTGTCCCCAAATTACCTGGGGACGCTGAACTGTCATTAAACAATGACAACTGGGCAGAGCCGGCCGCGACGTCACGACCACCTCCGTTATTTATTGGCTGAGACCTGCTAGAAGACTCTAGCAGGTGCCGGCCAATAGAAAACAGTGGGGGGTTTTATTTATTTTCTTTTGCTTTTAAAAAAAATCTTTATTTATTTATTTTTCAATTTTTCAATGTATTCACATTTTAAAACAAGTTTTTCAACTTTTAAAATTTTCTTTTTTTTTTTAGACCTTTTACACTATTTGCTATTCTGCTCGGTACCACGGAGGTACCGAGCAGAATGGCCGAGCTGAATGCTATTTGGCTATTCGGCTATTCACTCACATCCAGATGTTGGATCAGCTGAGTCCAAGTCCTTCTGCACTTCGGGTCAGCCGATGTACGGCTGAAATCAGCTGTACTGAATAGCCGGACGTTGTACGGCTCCACTTCGATACGGCTCGGTTATTCCTTCAGCAGCTTTGTGAATAACCCCCTAGGTGAACAATGTGTGTGATATAGAATACCATATAGGACATTATAGAAACGAACTAACAGTGGGCGATAAACTGTACCGCAAAGTTACACAAATGTTCAATGCTCACATTTATATACGAATATGGCATTTTTATGCTTACAATTGTGAAAGTTACTAGCACTATCTCTTTTGAATAAGGTAGCTTTTTGTATTAAAGGAGAACTATGAGATGAGTGATTTCCACTCACCTCATAGTTCTAGCCGACCTGTGACAATAAGACTGTCACAGGTCGGCTCAGTAGATCGGGAGGTGAGGGAAAACATACCGGGTTCCCTCACCTCTCGATCCTGTCACGGCTCTCTGCCGTGACAGGGGGAGGGGCTGGATTCCCCTCTCCCCGCTCCGATCTGCCAGCGCTGACTGGCGGAACGGACGGGGGAGGGGGCGGGTAGATAGGCAGAGCCAGCTGTCACTCACGCAGCTGGGCGGATCCCGTCATCTACGTCGGGATCCGCTCCGGCGTCTCAGTATACCGCGAGCTGTAGCTCGCAGTATACTGAGCTTAGGGTGACGGGAGGACGCTAGTTTGTGTCCTCCCGTTACCCCAAGGAGAACTATGGGGAAAAACACTGACCCCATAGTTCTCCTTTAAGGGTATGGAGCATGGAAAGGTACCATGCAAGAGATTGGAGCCATATAATACCTGATTCAAATGGCGTTTAATGTAATTACACAGTTTAAACATTACTGATGTATAATAATCTCTATAACAAATGAAATGGGCATATGTATAAAACAGTAAATGGGGCAACCATTAAACGTTCACAGGTATTTATTCATTCATTGTATAATGCAACACAAAGATGCAACTGCAGTGAATATTTGATAAATGTCACATTTACTTCTTTATAAACATGTCCTCTAATATGGGAGGCATTTGGCAAACATTAGATCTACTATGCATAGATGTTAAATAAAACCTATGAAAATGTAAAAAACACATAATAAAATGTATTTCTTCTACTTGTTACATATAGAAAAGTCCGCTGTCTGCAAGCCAGTGATCGGGAGAGTTTAGAAAGCCAGAATGACAGAAAATTAAGTCACAAATATAAATGGCTTTCAAACATTTCCTCCTGCAAAAATGAAGTAAAAAGGAGAACCTGTCATTTCTTGGTTGCTTGTTTACTTAGTCAAGAGGTCCTATGGAACAGAACACAAGCTACAGAATATAGGAGCAAGCTTTTATATAATGCCTGGATTGTCTGTTGCATTACAGGGGCTCTTGATCAGAAGTAAGGCAATTCAGATACCCCTGTTTGAAACCAGCAGGGTATATTTGTTTGTGAACAAAAGACCCAATTAGTATTTTCCACACCCTTTCACAAATCTCTCTACCTCCTTTGGCTCTGCAACTCTTCTTTCTTGCCCCTTTGTTAAAGTAAAGGGAGGCTGGCCCTAGGTTTCAAAAGATGCCACTGGGTTCATAGAAATGTCATGCCATAATGGCACCAAGTGTCCTCTTGAAAGTCAAGTAGTTTCTAATTGGATCTAAGCTCAGAAAACAGAGAAAGATCAACTCAGAGATATGTCACCTGTATTTACGGAGATGCGTGCTTGCCGTATAACCACCTGTGGGGCTATTGGTGTGGAAGGCCACAACTTGTGCAAAGCTTTGGCAACCAACAGAAGTCTTGTGGATGCATCTGCCCAGTATAGAAATCGGTCAATCAGGAAAACAATGGCAGCAGAGGTAGCACTGTCATGAGCCTTTATACAAGCTTTCAAATACACCTAGCATGGAGAAAATAAAAAAAACACAATGTCAAGCATTGCATTATACCTTGCTGTAATCTGTTGTGCAATAAGTGATCTTACTGTACTGTACTTTATGGGAAAACAAAATTGAAACATAACAGCCACATTCTTACTTATTCAATGCGGCAGTGCTGAGTAAAATGACAAGCAAGTGTATTATCATGTAGCTACCGATCACATTTCTGCTAAATCCAGTCAGATCCCTGAAATATTTTTAATTGAATGTTACAGGTTGCTTTATGCACACTTTTTTCCTGTAAATAATTTGCCATGTATATATTTATGTAAAAAGATTCTGAATTCCACACACTTACCTATTTTATAAGCACGTATATTCATGTGACTGATCTGATAAGCTCACTATGGACCTAAGGGGGAATATTGCTGGCTGTCACATAAACATGTATGCTTACAAATCCAAAGTAGGTATAGAGACACTCACGGGTCTTGCAGCAGAGGTAAGTCAAAGCATCAGCATTTTATTGTCAACGTTTCCATGGAGCTCAGTTTATCTTTATCAAGATACTGATGCTTAGCTAGGCTTAGTGTACATATTATATCAATTGAGCAGGGAAAAGGAGGCTGGTCAGATCTCTGACAACGGTTTGACTCAGAAATAATAACAGCAATTGGACTAAGTCAATTCTCAACAAGACAGCTTAGCCAGGCAAGTCTACCATGCTCATAGGCATGAGGTCATCTTATGTGTATGGCTAGCTTTGGTGCCACTTTAGGCAGATACTGCAAAGTCCTCTTGTTGCTAAGCCACATCACTGCTGATAAGATTTGCCCCTGCCTACCTGCCTGCTGGGCATTTACTATACTCTTATTATTACATCCCTATTAAGCCGTATAGGTTGTCAAAAAATGTTTTGTTTAATATTAGCAATATGAGTATCATGTAGGGATGCACCGATATCATTTTTTTCCAGACCGAGTATGAGTACCAACACTTTTCCTCAAGTACTCGCCAATACCAATTACCGATACTTTTTTTTAGTGCCATATGACAGTTTTATTAAAACAGCACAGACTAATGATTTTAGGACAGTGGTAGAGCGTCAGGGCCTGGTCTGCGACCCTGGTAGTTCTGCCACTGACTCCAAGCTTTAGGGGGACTACAAATCTCAGGAATACATTATATAGCAATCAGAATACTATCCGCTATAGAGAACTACAAATCTCAGTGATACATTATACAACAATGCAGAATGGCACCGGCTATAGAGGACTACAAATCCCAGTAATAAATTTTGCAGAAATGCAGATTAATACTATCAGCTATAGAGGACTATAAATCCCAGCAATACATTTTACAGCATCACAAAATAATACCATCAGCTACATGAGACTACAAATGCCAGCAATACATTATACATCAATGCAGAATAAAGCACAGGACAGAAACAGCAGGCAATATTTCTAAAGTAGCTGTGGAGTTCAGGTGCAGTTTTGCTTCACCATACCTGTACATAGCCCACTCTGTGCTGCCGCTCTGCTCCAGGGTGCTAACCTGATTTCTCAGGAGGGCAAGATGTGCAGAGGGTCTTAGTAAGAGATGTTCAGAGGGTCTCAGGAGGGGAAGATGTGCAGAGGGTCTCAGGAGGGGGAGATGTGCGGGCCAGCCGAAGCGCTGCAAACAGAGGTGCCGTGGTTCCCAAGAAGGCTGCCGCGAGGTCCTCAGCAAGCGTGAGACGCAAGGCAGCCACTTCATTTGAGTAATTAAAGTGCCAGTATCGTTTTTGGTATCGGAGCAATAGGGATGCACCAATACCAATACTAGTATCAGTGGCAATAGCAAGTATTTAGGAGAGTACTCGTACTCGCCCAAATGCTCCTGATACTTATCCCAATGCTGGAACTTCAGGAATCAGGGCGAGTCATTAGACATCGCCCGGCTTATTGATTGGCCGGGAAGCCAGCTCCATTCTTCTTCGTCACCAGGGAGCATGGAGCTGGCTTCCCGGCCAATTAGGAAGCCAAACAGTGTGTAATGACTTGCTGTCCGGCTTCCTGATTGGTCGGGAAGCTGGCCAATCAGGAAGCCAGGCGGCGAGTCATTATCTGCTCCCCGGCTTCCTGATTGGCCAGGAAGCCGGCTCCATGCTTTCTCGTCAATTGGTGATGAGCGTTAATTGTTGACGAGGGAGCATGGAGAAGACTTCTCGGCTAATCAGGAAGCCAGGCGGCGAGTCATTACACGCCGCCTGGCTTCCTTAATGGGACTTCCGGTATCGGTATTCAGTATCAGCACATACCCGAAAGAAAAATATCGCTACTCATACTCGATACCGAAAAAACGGCATTGGTGCATCCCTAATTTGCACGAGTATGAGTTTTAAGACATATTGGTAAACTAAAGTTATAAGACATAACATTATGGTAATTAAATCAGTAGTGGGCTGGCATGAATGGTTTGCACTAGTGCACTGGGAGCTTGGGTTCACCTCTAAGGTGCTACCTACAAGAAAAGCGGGTAGCTGATTTACTAAAATTAGACAGAGACATGTGGAGATGTTGCCCATAGCAGCCAGTAAAATTCCATGTTTTACTTTGCAGAGAAGACAGCTTAACATGCAAGCACAAACTCACAGTATGTAGTACACACTCTTTTGTTTGGGCTGTGGGAAAAGGGAGGAAGACATGCAGCTTCAATGAAGTTGACACCAGCATGTTTTGGGGGAAACAACAGTAACTGACCATAGTTTTCTAAAATGGCCAACTGCTTTCTCCCAAGATAACTGTCAGGTGGAAATGGCTGAAGCTATGTTTAGTCAAAATAAAAAAAATGGTGCATCAAATAAAAGAAAAGAAACCTTGACATAAAAATGCAGGTTTCTGACCCTCCTGCTTCAGTATTTATGGAATGATTCGTAATGCAGAGTGGATATCCCTGTCCGCTCTCCATGCTGCTAGGGTATGCAAAGCCTGGCCCATAGATTTTTTATGACCCACTTATAAAATGCAAACTGCGGCATGCAGCTTGTGGTTCCCCATGCTCTGTAATTGGAGGAGAGATCATCATGTGACTTTGACAAGACTTTCCTTACAGCTTTTTTCCCCACCTCCCATTCCTTTTTATTGTGCTCCAGCAGAGCAAAATGCACATCTGTAAAGTCCACCACAGTGCTTTATAAGCCCTCGTTCACACCTGACCGTTTTGTAGCGCGTTCTACGCTCGACGAACGCTCTACAAAATGGTCAAAAAAATAAATAGCATTGTAGTCAATGCCCTCGTTCCCACCTAGGCGTATTTCCGCTCGTCCCTAACGCCCTACAAAATGGCCCACGCCTGAAAAGGTCCCGGGACTACTTTGGGCCGTTTTGTAGGGCGTTTTCCATTGGGATACAGCCAAGTAGCCTTTGGAATCGCGCGACGGTCACGCGACTTTTTTACCGCGAATCGCTGAAAAAAAACAGCGCGACGGTCGCGCGACAGACGCGCATTTGCAATACGCCTAGGTGTGAACACAGGCTTAATGTGTGGTACTTTGTTTCCTTTAAAGCAATGGTATGGCCTTAGTGTGGCCATTCCGCTGCTTTTTAAATTGACCCCTTAGAGTCACTAACCAAAACCAATATACGGATAAAGACCTTTCTCTGCCTTTCCTTATATACTGTACATGTATCAGGTCAATGACTCATGAAACCAATAAATCAGGTGAAACAGCATAAAAGCCAGATAACTAGGTTTTTCAGAAGGAGAATGGCAGACCCCCTTTATCTAAGAGAAGAATAAATTAACCTGCTATAGAAAACAAGCCTGCAAGTCTTTCCATAATAAGACGCAGGCTTGTGGCATCTACTGAACAGACACTACCTATGCAAGCTTACTCAAAATGTGCAAAAATAATAAATAAATACAGTGAATGTGCAGAGTAAAAAAGTAATTGTATTATCTGTTTTGGTTATTAAAACGGGTTAGATATATTTGGGAAGAACGATGAGAACAAGGACACAGAGAAGACATGCAAGTATAAAACATATGTTAACAGTGACTGGAGTGCAGTAAGCAGTTTAGAATGCATTAGCAGCTTGAACAACAAGATGCAAAATAAGGATTTAATGTTTACTAAAACTCGTATACGTAACAGAAAATAATGAGAACATTTTTGGTAGAACTGAACACCCTGGTTTATTCAGAAATGTATAACCTTGTCGAAACTTATGGATGGTCTCTAATTTGTGGCTCAGATTTCAAAGGTCCAATTAAGTGGGCTGCATACTTTTGACAAGCAAGAAGTGGATAGAAAGCAAAATAAGCACTGCGTAGAATGGGAGTATACTATATTCCCAGCACAATAAAGACACTTACACCTGGCACGAGCAGAATACCTGTTGTTAAACACAATAAAGGAATGTTTCAATGCACCTGTAAGCAGCCTTTGCACATTAATTCTTTGATTGCTAACAGTACAGTGCGGATTTAAATGCTGACCGCCGCCTAGTCTACTTTTTTCCCCCACTTCTCCTCTATGTAGATTAGAGTACAAAAGCCTGAAAGAGAGTGACCCGCCAAACAAAAGGGTTTTGAGTTGCTCGGAAAAGCAGACTTAGTGGAGGATGGATGGAATCCAAGTGGCCCTATTATTTCCACTTGCACTAATTAGACATTTTTCTGTCACCTATTGAACGCCGCTGAGAGGCCAAACTCACTGAATTCATTCCTAAAGTGTTTACAGAAGTTTGCATCTGTTTGTGTTTCTTCAGGAGGAAAATAAGCACTTGAATAGCACTGAGGAAAATCTAAATGAAGCATCTCATTCTGAAGAGGCGGCAGGCTGCAGCTGCATCATGCCATACAACCTATGGTGTCATCTCCTAACAGAAGAACAATGAATGCAGAAAGCACAGACTGCTGACGCTCCCAGAGACAATGTTTAACATGTTTTTCTCTTATACACTGTCCCTATACCCTTCTTCCACCCATCACCCTGGTTCCTGAAGCATCCATGAGATCAACTAGATCGGTATAC